GCATTTTGGAGCACCTTGCTTGGTGCCGCAGGAGGTCAAATATCAAGTGGTCTTTAGCCAACTCCTCCCTCAGAGTCCAGGTGCACTGTGGAGACTTGGCAGCAAATGGATTTTGCCAGAAGGGGCTACAGCCATACTAGAGTACCTCTGAAAGTTGACGGCAACTTCAGCAGTTCAACCCCGAAGGAGAAGAGAGGGCAGCTGCTTATTGAGTATGTTTTTTGCCAGACATGACTATCAGGTGCCATGGGGTTGAGCCCAGGACAGAAGGCATGCATGAGCTGAAAGGCTGAACTCCAGTGTCTCTTCTGCATGCGATCGCTTCTGCCACTGAATTCAGAAAGAGTCCCAGATTTTGTCCATCTCCATGTGGCCGCTAGGTCTGGTACTGAAAAAAATTTAGCCTGAAACCAGCAGGGAGGAGAGTAGAATGTGTGCATATTACGGTAGACGTTTGGACCTTGGTGTTCACTGGACTGTCAACTTCAGAGGGAGATGCTTTGGTGTCAGCTTGTGCAGCTCAACAAAAGCACATGCCTTCAGATGCATGTGAAGACTTTCAGATCGTGCTCTGTGATGTGCCATTATACAAGACCTCTCAAGCAGTCAGTGCAGCACAAAATAACCCAGGAGCTGCCAAATATTGTAGCTAGTATTTCACCAAATACAAATATCCCTTTTTTCCCAGTTCAGAGCTAAAACTTGAGTTACAAAGGATTTGATAATCAGGGAAATTAACGACACAATACTACTGATTTCAGTATTTCTTCAAGATATCGCCCAAGGGGTGAGATCACCTGTAATTTTATTTGTCCAGGCTATGAGCCAGGGCTCTTCAAGTGTGTGTTTGGTACATGGCCACTGTGCTTTGCAGTGCAGTCAGTCTGTATTCACACAGGGCATAACGTGATTCCTGGAAGCACCTGACACTGCACAGTGCCGCAGTGTGCAGACTTACGCTGGATCTCTGCCCTGTCCCTCCTTTCCCAGCTCATAGCATTTGGAGGTAGAGAGTGTGATGAGGAAGGGGCTTAGGGTAGAACTTTATAAACACATTAGAAGAAGTAAACCTCATAGAATGGTTTGTTCGTGTTCACCCCATCTCTGTGCCCCTTTTTCCTTCCTCCCTTCCTTGTATACCCACCCTTCAGACCCAGGGAAAAGCAATCTCAGTTGCCCTTACACTACCACCCTGGTCAGTGACACACTCGTGTCATCTATATCTTCATCCTCTGCTCTTACGTTGACTTAGGAAGAGCTTTCACTTAGAGATGTATTGACTGCTGGTTGATAACCCAGAAAAGCAGAATAGACCACTGTGAATACTGCGAAGGCAACAGATAAGAGATAAGCAGTGTCTTAGATAATCTGAATTGTCATCTTCATAACACAGTATGCTTAGAGGGAGTACTGTAATAAAAAGCAGATGTAGGAGAAGGCATATTAAAATGTAAACATTTTTTTTCTGTTCAGAAGGATGAACTTTGGGATTTCAAGCAAGAGCTGATCTTTGTAGAATCTATTGGAATATATTACTCTGCATTTGAGATTACAATGAAGTACTTTGCTGCAGTAACTAAGTGGCTTTTGAGAGGAACTTATGATAAGAAGGAAAAAAGTATTGCTATTCTCAGCTCCAAAACAATGATGCCATTATATTAATGCTTTTTTTGTATTTAGTTGTTTCTAAAGGGATTTGAGCGTTATGCTGTCAAGTCACCCAGGCACCATACTTCTGGACACCTGAGTTTTGCACAACTCCCTCATGGTCCACAGAAGCGACTGTAGCATAAAGTGCGTACCCTTACTTGGGGGGAGCAGAAGGGAGGTTGCTGTGCTGGGCCGTATCTTGGAGGAGGAGCTGCTGTGTGACTTTCAGTGAAACTTTTCTTGACTGGGAGACCTAAAGAAAGAAAATTCTTGGTTGCAAGAAATGGTTGTGGCTTCTTTCCTATTCTGTGTGCTGGGGAGATCTTGTTGGAATTACCAACTGCTTCTGATGTGAAGTTGTAGACTGGAGGGAGACCGCAGGTGTTGGAACTAGATGATCTTTAAGGTCCCTTCAAACCCAAACCATTCCATGATTCTGTATTGGCAGGAGCAAATCTCTGTCCCTGTGGCTGGGTTCAGAGATAATGCAGACTTAGAGCTGCAATGAGGATATGATGTATAAGCAACAGTCTGCAAGGCTGGAAGCCTTTGAGTGAGTAGGGGTGAGCTGGAGATTGGAGTGTGGTCTGGAAGTACAGGATGTCTCTAGTAGTACCGAAATGAGGGGAAATGGATGGTGGATGCTCTGTGCCAGAGATGCAGAGACTGCAGGGGCTCATGTAGTGACATTGGGCAGTAGTTGCAGCTTGCAGTCCTAATGAGAAGAAAATATGACAATTTGGGGAGTAAAGTGTGGTCTTAGGGAAGCTGGGGGTGGTGAGGGTAAGAGCTACAAGGTTGGAGTCATAGTAAGATCAGAAATGTCTCTCCTTTAGTGTGGGCAGACAGAGCAAGTGTGTTAATCTTGTACTCGTGCTCCCAGCAGTGTGAGAGACATCTGTTCCCATCGGGCCCGGAGGTGCATGACTCAGCCAGAGCACAGGGTCATCAGTGCTACTGTTAGGGTTGGCGGTTTGTGTTTCCTTTCCCAGTGCTGTGCAGCAGCTAGCAGCCTCCCACACCATCCAGTGCCCTTTGCCTCGCTGGCTGGGATGGAGGGCGTCTCTGCCAGGGTTATGGGGGTCCCATCCCCAGGGGCTGACAGGGGCATGGGCAGCAGCTGACCAGTTGGTACTTCTGAACCTCCTAACTGCCAAAAGTGCTTCTGGCTCTTGAACCAGCATGGAAAAGCAGTGTGCTGTTCCCTGATGAGTATAAACCTTTCATGATCTCACTGAGCCCTGTCACAGCATCCTCAGGATTCATCGCACTGGAGACAATTACTGAGATACCCGACAGCAGGAGTGTGACATGCCTGATTTTAAGCAATGAGCTTTCCATTAGGATGAATCTTAGATAGCTAAACGATTCATTGCCAGAATGTATGGCTATGTTCTGTTTCTGCTAACTTTTGTGCTCTTAAGTACAAAACTTCATTAGCACATTCCCTTGCAGAAAATGTAAATGTGCTGGGTGTAAATGTCAGCGTGGCTGCTGTCCTGCATGAAAAAGTCTAGCTCTTTTTTTATTTCCTCTTGCATTTGAATCCATTTTTGGCATATGAGAAAAGTATGTGTTGAACTTGGCAGCTGGCAATTTGTGCTTGACCTGCTATGTGCTGAGCACGATGGGAATAGGTTATGACAGATTTGTCATATTTAACCATGAGTGTCTCGGTGTCTTGTTAGCACTGGCTGATGTGCTTCCATCACAGGGTTTTCTGGAAGAGTAAGAAATGCTCATGCAAAATTAAGCACAATTAGGAATTCTTAGTTTTGATGCTTTTCAAAATCTTGGACCTGGAGGCTATAAAAACCTGAGTTCTAAATTTGGCAGCTATGCAGGAAGTTTGGTGTGTTCCTCATGGGATGTTCCTTCCATTATTTCCTTCTGCAACTGCCCCTAGAGTGAATTTCTGGAGATTGGATGTGTTGCTTATTTTTATTTTGGGGAGGCATTACCCACCAACTGCTCTTTGTTCCTTCCATTCACAGTACGATTACCTTTTTGGGGGTATTGCTCGAAAATGTAATTTTTGGCTGGCTGTTCTCCCTTGCTGGAAGGGGACAGGCAATGAATTGATTCCAACAAGAAAGTAACTTAGGCTGAAGGGCCAGAGGGATGTAGTGGGTGTGCTGGTGAACCCAAGATGCTCTCAGGGAGCGGTTTCTGTTGCTGGACCCTACAACACAGATGATTATACTTCTTGAGTCTTAGAGATAAGACAGTTGCTGCATTTCTTTAAATAAAGTTGACACAGTTTGATGTGAGAGTACTCCCCAGGACTAATGAGACCAAAGAAGTGAAGCTGTGAGGTTGTATGTTTGGCAACATTTCTGTTAGATTCCCTTTCGTTCTCTTCAAAAACTACCATGCAAAAGAATCAGTGAAATATTTTCTAATAATGAATACTTAAATATAACTTCTTGATCCCCTGTCTGGGCGTTAACCTTTATAGTAAAAGGAATTTAAATAATGAAGAATTCCACCTCAGTCAAATTTAGGAGTGTTACTTATGGTTGTGAGGATGAAAAGTGGATGTTAGAAATACAAAGCAACTGTACTATCTATTTACTAAAGCTGTTTACAAGGTAACAGATACATGTGTGTGGTTTTTTTTTTTTGGCGTGAAGGCTACTTTTCAAAACTGTTTTTGGCCACCATGCAACAGAAATCTGTGTTTACAAGTCTGTGAATCTTTAAAGCTAAAAAGCTTTCTAATAACTAAAACTGTGATTTTACTTTTTTTCAAGTGGATGATTCAAACAAATCCTCAACTTTCACTCAAAAAGTAATTTAGAGAGCAACTTTTTACCATTATTAACAGTTTTGCTTTTTTTCCAAGTGGATGATTCAAACCCTCAACTTTCACTCAAAAAGTAATTTAGAGAGCAACTTTTTACCATTATTAACAGTTTTGTCCTCCACAATGAAAGCTGTACTGGAACTGGACTTGCTCATCCAAATGGGTGAATTTTTATCTTCACCTGTCTGCTTCTGCTGCATCAGGTTGGTCTTCCTCTTGTCCTTCAAGGAAATGTTTCTCAAACTGGAGTAGGCTTTGACTCTACCTGCCCTCGGCTGAAATCCCGTGCAGATGGTGTTGCACTGAAGCTCACATGCAGACAGAAGAGAACTGGACGATGTGGCTGCTTTGTCATCCAGGGTCTTTGAGCTGACTGTCTAATGTGATTGATGTCAAGGCTGCGTACCTTTAGGAGCAATCATGGTCATGTTCACACTTTCTGTCCTTTGCAACTTGACGTAATTATTTTCTCTCCTTCTCCAGTCAGTAATGGATGTATATCTTTTTAGCCTTCTAATTAAAGCTCTGAATTGTGCTTTTTCAGGTCACAGAGCTCAATAATGTGAAGAATATATTGCGAATGCCAAAAAGCACAAAGAAGCATGCTGTTGGGATTTATTTTAATGACGACACCTCCAAAACCTTTGCTTGTGAGTCAGGTGGGTAAACTGGCAACACACATTAGAAAACGTAAGAGCATTAATTGTGAAATTATAAATGTATTATACCTACACACAGATTTTCTGGGCATTTATACAGAACTTGAGGCAGATGAGTGGTGCAAGGTGCTGCAGATGGAGTGTCTTGGAACGCGAATTAATGACATTAGCCTTGGAGAGCCTGACTTGTTGGCATCTGGCGTAGAGAGGGAGCAGAGTGGTAGGTACATGAATATTGACATTTAAAATCTTTAATAACATTATTTTAATGTCTTTTGGATTGTCCATAGGAACATCTGAAATAAATTGTTGCAAAATTGTTTTTCCAAGCCCTCCTTCCTATATTGTGGTGGGTTTTTTTGTTTGTTTAGGGGGGTTTTTTGGCTTTTGTTTTTGTTAATTGCTATCAAATAATAATTAAGGCAAGTAGGGTTATTTTGAAAATGCACTTTTCTATTTCAGACAAGTTAGTTGCTCTTGGAGATGGGAACTGTCTTTTGTTGTATGCTGTTGTATGATGTATGTACAGCAGTTTCAGTCTGTGACTGATGCTCTTTGGCAACATTGTAAAGCAAGTAATAAATAGTAGTAATTGCATGCAAAACCTCAGCCCATGGCTACTTCACTTTCCTATGCAAATTAACTAATTACATGCACAAATGTAATTGCAATGTATTTATTCATGCACACAATTTTATTAATTGTTTGCAAATACCAGGATTATGATGGTGTAGTTCTCTTTGGTATGTGAACGCACGCACAAATGTTTGACACCCTTTGAGTGCAGCATTCTGACTGCCCCAAACACGGAGTTTATGGAGTTATTGGATGGAACTGAGTCTTTGTTTTTGAATTAATTGTTCAAAGTGGAAATAAGATCTTGTAATAGAGGTGGAAAATAGGAAATTCCTTTAATGACTTGTGCATTTAATGAGCAGGGATTTTAGACTAATCTTTTGTTTTTCTCCCAGAGAGATTCAATGTGTATTTGATGCCATCCCCTAATTTAGATGTGCATGGGGAATGTACCTTGCAGATAACATTTGAGAATATCTGTCTTTGGGACATCCAGAATCCCAGAGTAAAACTCATCTCTTGGCCATTAAGTGCCCTCCGACGCTACGGGCGGGACCCGTCTTGGTTCACGTTTGAAGCAGGGAGGTAGGTGTTCGCTGTATTGTGTTGCTTTCCTTGGTGGTGCTGGGTGGTGCTCTGGACCACTTCTGAAGGTTGTGGAAGGGCATCAGAGCCCATCTTCAGACAAAGGCTAGTCTGTACCCTCTGCTAAAAAAATCCCATAAAACAAAAATAAACAAAAAGAAAAGAAAACAAACAAAAAATTCAGTCAGTCCCAGGTTGCAGCTTGCATGGAAGCAGTTGCCAAATGAAAGTGCCTGAGGATGGGGGTGGGAGAGCGGCGGTATCCGGGGGGAGTGCAGGGTGGAGGCTGACAGCATTGTATGTTACTCTGTAGGGTTGTTCTTAAATAAAGTGTTATATGAGCCAGGGAATTGGATGGACAGATCTGGGAAGAAGTGTTGAACGTCATTCCAGAATTTGTACAATGTGGGCCTTTGGAGACAGAGTTATGGGTGCTGTACTAGGGGAAGTGGAGGTTGAAGTTGGGAGCAATGAGTGCCAAGTTGTTTCCCAAGATCAAACTGAAGTAATGGAGAAGAGATTTCTGTTTTCCATTGATTATATTTCTGGCTTCTGTCTATTTGACAAATGTATGTCTAAGAAATTAGAACACAATTCCTTGTTTTAGAGATGTTGTTCTGTATTACTTCTAGTGTTAAAGTCTTTGTGTGGCTGAAGTTGGAGCACTTATTTGTTGAACTAAACTATCAAATCCTTTCTAAGGGATATGGATGCATTACTTTAGATAAGCACATTAAAGAATTACAATGGTAAAAGAGAAACAGATCATACAATTAACTTATGTGGAAAGGGAAGAGGCATTTAAATGTCCATCCTCCAAATTACTGCAAAATTCAGTCCTCTCTGGGGAGGAAAAGGATACATTTTTATTTAGCTGATCATGCATTAGCTGTGATAAGACAATGCAATTAGGATGCTGAACATATATATTTGTTTCAAGTGGGAGACAAAACTCTGAAAAACTCATTACAGGCAGTGTTAAAAGTCTGAAAGGGGCAGACAAATTAATCCTACCTGGCACAGATTCTAGATAAGGTCTAAATATTAAAAATCTGGGTCTTGCGCATGAACTCTCTAGAGCTTATGACAGAACAGGGGTACTTAGCTGAGTCCCTGTTTGGTGAGAGCAATACAAATATAGGCTAAAATAGTAAGATTGGACCAGGGTTAGTTAAGACCTGTATGCAAAGGCTTTTAGATCGCTTCATTCCGTATTTCAACAGCCTTTGTTTTCATACTGCTTATGTGATGGTGCTTTTAGAACAGCATGGTGAAGTTTTGCTTGTTCGTGGTGATCTGTAAACTGAAATCTCACACTCGGGTCCCATCTGCTCTTGCTTTGGCAGGATGTGTGACACAGGAGAAGGACTCTTCATCTTTCAGACTAGAGATGGGGAAGCAATCTATCAGAAGGTTCACTCGGCTGCTTTGGCCATAGCAGAACAACACGAACGCTTGTTGCAGAGTGTGAAAAATTCAATGGTACGACTGGTTATGTTTGTTATTTTACACTGGGCATCAATGAACAATATGTTTCTTCAGTATGATTTTAAGTTTTGATTCATAGCTAGTTATCAGTCATTATTGCTTTTACTAAATTCTGTTTGATTTTAATATTTAGTGTAGTATATATAACTGCAGTTGCTTTCCAAGAATCAAAGCAACAGGAAAACTTAGGCCTTGATTTTGTGTTTGCAAAACTATCAGTAAGTGTGAATTAATACAGAGATGATGAGATGATAAGCTCCTGTCACTGCACATTCTCATTAGGTTGCTTTGATTAATCAGTATCATGAGTCTGTTTGGAAGCATTTCTCATCAATCTATTTGCAAACTGTTGTGGCTCATGCTCAGTTTTCCATTGCTAATTGATGTCTACACTCCAAGGATGATTTAGAGTCATATGCTTCGTATTAAACTATGGGGGAGGACTAAACTGTGTGATCTCTCCGTAGAGGTCTGTTTTCCACCAGTACTTTTTGTGTCTAAAACTTGTAGGAAATGTAAAAGTCTAAGATGAAAAACTAACATACAGACTGAGAAAAGATAGCGTGGGATCCCCAGAAGCATTATCTCTCAGGAAGGCAGTTTTGTGGTACTTGCACCTAATGTGTTCAAGGATCTTACTAACTTTTTTTTCCCATGAAACCTCTAGAGTGGAAAGGAATGTTCTGTTTTTCCCATATCACAGTTGGTCTCTACACCCCAAGACTCACAGGTTGAATTTGACAGCAAAAATAGTATCCTGAAGATAACAGGATTTCTGGAATATATAAAATGCTCAGAATAGACAACTGTGGAAGAGCCTGGCTATAAACAACATCTCTATTCCAGGCAGTAGTAATTGGTTTATGTAATCTGCAGTAAGGCTTATATGTCTCTCTCACAGTAAACATGAGCGCTGCTGTTATCCATATCCATGTCTAATCCTTTTGGTAATTCTACTAACATCTTGGTTTCAGGCATAAGTTGTAGTGATGAATTATCCCAGTATTAACTGGATGACCCAGCTGGGATGAAACAGAAAATGCCATTACTACATGTGAAAAGAAAAGAGTGGATGTTGATGGGATGGAAAAGGGAACAAAGTGTCTTAAGTACTTGTATTTCTTCTGTTATCCCAATTTCTTGAAGTTCAGACAGAATGGAAGCCAAACACATGATAGGAAAGTTGTTTTTCTTAGTAACAGTCCAGTGAGGAGAGGAGGAGCAATAGGAAACTCTTTCCTAGTGTCCTGACCAACCTTGTGGACTGCATAATGGATTGCTTCAGCCAAGCATGCAGGCAAATGGGTAATTCTGTCATTTTTAGAGCAGGTGGGATATCTGCAGTGGGAGAGTGAGAAAAATTCAAGTCTGTTTCTAGGTGATATGGGTCATGCAATGTTTTTACTTTTAACAGGAAAGAGACTAGTTAGTGAGAGAGATATATATTTCACGCTATATATAGTGTGATATGCCAGTTTTCAGTTGATGCTACTCTGTTAACTTCTGGCTGGTGTCATTAGAATATGGTCACTTCAGTAAAGCCCATGGGAGAACACTGCGTCTGTGAGGATGAAGCAATAAGTCATGACAGCCCCTGCCCTGTGTCCATTAAGTCCACATGCTTTTCTCAGCACTTTATGTTCACTAGCCAGAGTTTGACACTTCACTTTCTTTCAAAATGTTGGAACTAGCAGGTGAACTCTGCAGTCAGCTGCACTGGTATTTTTTCCTTTCCCAGTAAAGTATCATCTAACACCATCAGTGCTAGTTTTGACTTGTGTTTAAACCAGAAAAACTGTATAGTTCTAGTTAGTGAAGGGAGTTTTTGTTCAAAAATATCCAAGAGTATCCAAGTTGAGACAGATGGGTAGAGGATACTCGTCCTCAACAGTAAGTAAATTAAGAGATTAAAATTAACCTAGGCTAAGTCAGCATAACTAGCTAACATTTGTAGCCCAGCAGGATCAGAAGCGATTGAGTTACCTGTTGAGAGCACAACTTCATTTTCAAAAAAACAGGGATAAGTTCCATAACAATAGTGAATAGGCTTACAGGCAATTTCATATTTGGTGGTTTTACATTCATGAAATAGCATCTTTAATAGATGATGTTGTGCTGTAAAATTTCTCTTACAAGTGCTAGTAGACTCAACAGTTGCAAAGTTGCTATAGATTTCAATAAAGAGCAGCTGCACAAACTCTAAAAGCTTTATATGAACACTGTGTCCAACCACAACCCCTAAATCTAATTTTATGGACCTTAGAGTGCTAGCTGGGGGATAAGAAGATATTCCCGGTGAACTGAAAGTCCTATAATTTAGAAGCAGAATATATTTTTTTCAGATAAGTCCATATGTCCCTGAATATGAGTTTCCCAAGTTTGTCATAGAAAAGTTGTCTATTTTCCAAAATAGACAGACTTGGTTGCCTCTCTGGGTTCAAGGATAGTCAGCTTTGGAAGGCAGAGGGTTGTTGTATCTGTGTAGAACTCAGGTGGCTTATTTTCATGATTACAAAATACTTGTAAAATACATTTTTGTTCAGATTGACATCCCCTGTATTTTTCTTCTGCTTTTGAATCCTTCAGCAAGGAGTTAGTTTTAGATGCTTGCAATTCATGCTCAGCTGTCTATACTGGTTCTATCTCCAAGAATTATTTATCCTGTGTGAATTTTCTCATTAGTGAAGGTTGAGCTATTGTGTACAGAAAGGGTAAATAAAAGTAAAAAGTCGGAGATACGGATGGTGAGAAATTAAGACTACACTGAATGTCTTCTGTTTGCACCTGTAATCCTGCCCACTGCCACATCAGTGGTGTGATTATCCAAGACCGAGCCGAAGATGGTATTAAGCTACCTGAGGGATCCTGAAGCCTGTGCAAAAAAATAAAAAAAAAAAAAAAGGGAGTTGAATGTCCCACGCTGATAGAGCGAAATAAAGCTGCCAAGTACTGTTGAGAATGTGGGCTATAATGTGTCTGTCACCTCCCTAGCAGTCACTCTCTTTGTATTACAGTACATTGGTTCAGTTTGTGACTACAGCTGGCTCTGGCTCTTGAAATGCATGTGGAAAATGGATGTAATAGTGGTTCCTCAGCTGGGAACCTCACCCTGACACTTTCTGTTAATGTGCTCTTGCTTTCTGGTGAGGTCTGAGCATATGCTGACCACAGTCTGTGACACTTTCACAAGTAGGTTTCATTTATTTTCCTTTTCAGTCAATTCAAAGATCTCTCCCTTTTCTCATCTAAAGGGAAGAAAGAGCTGGCTTTGCTTCGCAATGCATGAAGCCATTCTGGTCATTTGGTAACTCGTCTCACCCGACTGTTTCTTTCACTTTTGCAATGCCAGACAATGGAAAGAAAATATCTATTCAAGTTATATTTTCATGAGTATTTGGTTGCCATGAAAACTGACAGGAGTAGTGCTGAGACTTGACTGCTGTCATTTATGCCTGCTTCTCAGTTCAGGTTACTTTAGAAAAAGATGTTACAACTTGACATCTCACTAAAGTAATAACAGTGAACTTTCCAGTTTTGGCAGCTAAAGCTCAGTGCTTCATAGAAAGATATTATCAGCCAGTTTACCGGCAGCCTTCCCTGACTCTTATTCCCCTCAGCAACTCAAGTGTGTGTTTCGCACTAGATCCATCCGATGTGTGAGTTCATCAGTTCAGGCTGGAGCCTGCTATTATCTCTGGCCATTTCCACAGAGATTCATAATTAAGAGTAGAAGTGGTGCTCACTGACTTTTCAAATAAGAGAGGAATATTGAGTCAGTGTAAGATGGATAATAGTCAAAATGGCAGCAATATGTTAGTGCCCTCGAATTTCTGAGGTTGCTCTTCTTAGTTTACCATCCTGTAGTTTTGCTGTGATGAATTTAGCCCATGCTTCTTAAGCAATTATCATTCTAATTGGTTTTGACTGATTACATGAATTTGCTTCACTGGGAAGAATATTCTCTCAAACATCATGAGTGTAGCCTTCTGCAACTGGGGATCCCAAGATGAAGGTTTACTCTGTGTAAGTTGTGCTGCAAAATCTTTGACAATTGCATTGTCCAGCCTGAGGAAACCAACCAAACCTAACAAACCTGAATCTTAAATCATCTTTCTTTTCTTCCCTTTTGGAGCCAGGTGCACAGCTAGCTTGAGGGAATGTTGTTGGGGGGGTGGGTAGTTTGTTTGTTTTGGTTGGTTTGTTTTGGTATGTATTTTTTAGAAGACAGGGGTTCTGCCTCTAGTGCAAGTTTTGCTGATTGTTAAGGTGTGATCCAAGAAAGAAAATACTTCATCTTTCCTCCCTGAGCCCCCAAGACTTCTGGGAACCAGCTGCACGCTGTGTTTGACCCAGAGCTGTGCTTTGGCTCAGCAAACGTCCCTAGTTTAACTCTGTGCATCTCTCATTGAGGTGACAAGAGGTGGCACAGCAGCTCCCCAGCTGCTCCCGGCACTGACTGCTGAGGGCTGCATGTGCTGAGGTTCCATCCCCTTCCTTTGTGGATCTCTCCTAGCCACTGGAGCTGCGGGGTGGCTTTGTGTTGTCCCTCACCGCTTCTCACATCTTTGCTGCCACCTTGGTCTACGTGTGACTCAACATCACTAGATCCCTGCCATGTGTGCAGGGAGCTGTGTTTGAACTGCTCTGGGGATCCTCATCTCCTTTCAGCATTCTCCTTCTCGCTAGGGCTAAAGGCTACAGATTAGGTGCCCTCCAGTTAACAAATTGTTGTATTAATGATATATGGAGTTTCATGTCCCGCCTGCCACTCTGCTCGCAGCCTTTGCTCACACGTGTTCCAGCATATCAATTCTGTTTTCCACCTGCTTACGGTGCTGGCCGCTTCTGCGGCATAAAGTCAGGTCATTATCAAGATATTCCTATTCTTTCTGTTGCCACAGAGATACCGTAGGTTAATTGTGAGAATGAAATCAATCATCGTTAAAGTTGTCTTTGCTCACAGTCCGAGGTGGTTTGATGAAATGCTGTGTATTCAGGACATAACACACTAATTTTTATCTCCAGCTGTGGGGTTTTTAATTTTTTTCCACTGCTGATTGAGTTCAGGAGGGGCTCCCCTTCTGGCCCTTTTCTGCATCTTTGTCTGATCTTTCTCCAGCTGTGTTCCCAGGATAGCCTACTGGCTTTTTGCACTCCTCTGAACAGCCTAACTCCTGCCCAAACTGCCTTAGCTTGCTGTCCAACTCACCAATCAATGAAACCACCAAAAAAAGTATCTCCAGCCAGGAAATGCCATCTTCCCAACGCTCCACTGATTTTTATTCCCAGTAAAAGATCCATCGGTGTTTGCTTCCGTGGTGCTGAGATGTGTGTGGTGACACTGCAAAGGGTGTTGGGGCTCTAGTGAAGGAGCTGTAATAAATGTGCTGTAGGTGGAACCTTGCAGGGTGCAGGGATTCACGTCCAGCTGACGTGGAGGTGGGTGTTGTAAGAGGGGGAGTTGATCTGGGCTTGGCTTTGTTCTGTTTTACCTTCACATCACAGGCGCAGTGTCCATAGTACAGAGAGGAGGTTGAAGGTAGATGACACCTCTAAATAACTTGGAAATGGGTCTCTTGGGATACAGCCAGCCCTCACCTCTTTTCTGTGCCCGCTTTGCCTGCTTGGTTTTGCTCCAAAATATACCAATCTTCTTATAGAAGGTTCTTCCACCTCAAGTTTTGTGAAACTAAAATGTAAAAGCTCACTTTTCTGTAAAAAAGCTGCCTTTATAAATTAGAAAAGCCAAGTGCAGTCTCAGTATGTTTGAACTGATGTTTTCCTGAGCTTTGGGAGGAAAATTTTAGCTGTACTGTGAAGCTTATGATAAAATCCAATTATTTTTATCAGCTTGCACATACATCTTATTAAATTCATGGCAAAAAATGCATTAAAGTAGTCAGTTCTCATATATTTTTGTGTTAAGTGTAGTATAACTAACAAGGGGCTGTGATTATGTAAGAAAATGTAGCTGAAGACCCTGTATGGAGGGGAAAGTGTGAGATGGGGCTTCCAGCAATGCACTGCAGCCCACGTGCTCTCAGCCTACCTGGATGTGCTATTTGTGCAAGGAATTTAGCTGAAGGTTGTGTATCTCCTGTGCTGAACTCCTGTGCCAACCAGCTGGCCCATTCCTCAGCTGTAGGAGATGGGAGATAAATAGAAAATGCTTTAAAACTAACAAGAACAACTTACTCTTACCCATGTGAAACATCTCCAGTCAGGTTCTCGTTGTGCTGAGGCTGTATTTAGCTTTGGGAAGGTTCTTGCGTGGCTGGGAATACCCTCGGATGGCTTTGTTGCTAGAGGGGGAGCATACCAGCACTTTCCTGTCTTCCACTGATCCCCAGTTTCTGTTTCAGCTGCTTGAGTTAAAACTCCCCTCGGGGGAAGCAGTGCTTGCCCAGGACCAGGGGAGCACCAAGGTGAGCTTTGGTGTGCGACGACAGCGTGGCCTCCTAACCCGAGTGGTGTGTGCCCGTGAGACTAACCCCCGAGTTAGTTGCCTCTGCTCATGTGGGTGGGCTGAGGGAGGGAAGGGGAGGCTCTGCTGGCAATATTGGTAGTCCTTGCAGCCAGCGGGCATGCTCTTCTCAGTGGATTTGCGATAAATGTGGCTGTCTCTTCACCTCAGTTTCCTGCTTTGCAGCTTCAGATGAAAATGAGCGAGCGAGCCATGTCCCTCAGCACCATGGTGCCCTTGCCCCGCAGTGCCTACTGGCAGCACATCACGCGACAGCACAGCACAGGCCAGCTCTACGGTCTGCAAGGTAAGGGACTGGGGTGGAAAGAGTCCGGGCACAAATCGGATCACGGCACTGTTGGATCATTTCAGTATGTGTCCATCTCGCTGGTGTTCGGTCTAAGCCAGTTGCCACTGCTGGCTGGTGGGTGGAGAGAAGGGCACATCCCACCGTAAGATGGACAACTTGGCAGGGGGCTTGTCATCAGGAGGTACCGCTCTTACTTACCATTGGAGAGGGATCCATCATTTGACAAGTTTTCTGACCAATTTAAGGTAAACAAGGAGAAATTACTATTAAAGGATGGCCAGTTGTCAAGGTTGCCCAATCCTTCTGCTACCAAACTCCTTTAACGGCCCCTGTTTTTTTTGCCACACTTATAACCATTTGGCTCCCCTCCCCTTTGGATGGCTGCCTCATGCCAAGAATGATGCAATCTTCATTACTCATTTGAGCACTTGCTAACATTCAGTGTAAACAACTGCATCCTTGAAAGCAGCTGAATTAGAAGAAGTAGAAGGAAATGGCCATGCTAAGTAGCGTTAGGAAACTGCTGTGTTTGCAGCTGCAGGGCTACCACCCTGCATCACGGTGTGGCCTGAAGACGGGCAGAGGTCTTCTCCACATCCCCTCCTTGCCGGCAGCCCAAGGGCCAGCACAGCTCTGTCCCCTCATGCCTGGAAACCTCCCCAGGCTGCAGAGAGGGAGGGATTGATCCCTGGGTGGGGGGTTCTCTGCACTCACTGCATGGTCACCAAGGGACATCTAGTGGTTACTGCACATGGGTGGGGGGAAGGCACAGGAGCACCTGCGGGTTGGATGGCTAACAGGGATTTCCCAGGGGTGCTGGTGTGAGCCATCTCTGCCCCTGTTTCAGAGGTGTTTCAACACCGAGTTTTAATCTCCTAAGATAAAAGGCAAACTGGCACCCGCCACGCTGCTGTTGCTCCAGTTTCCCCAGGGGCATCTGGAGCAGGAGATGCAGGTGCTTAGTCCAAAGGCAGCATCTTGTAGTCATGGGTGTTTTTATAATTAAAACACCCCAAACAACCAACACCCCATTTGTATCTCAAAACACACTCTTGCACTCCAAATTATGTGGATTGGCTGGGTTAGTGTTTGTATGGAAGTTGACATCGATGAGTTGGGAAGTCAAGATCAGGACATTACTTGGAAAAGCAAGCAGAAAACAGCTTAAACACTAAATAAAAGTCCAGCAACCTGGAATATTAAATGGGAGGAGCCGATTCCTGCCATAACTTTATTTTCACAAGGTATGGAATAAAGATTGAGTTTGATTAAGCGTTTGGATGATAAGGATGGACTGCAGCAGTTTCCTTTCACCATGGGGGCATTAGAAAGTGAAACTCAGCTTGGCCATCAGGATATGGGTTTGCCATCCCTGAAGGTCAGGGCTGGTGTGGGCTGCACCCAGGGCCAGCCCTGCTCTTTGGTGCCTCATCCTGCTGTAAAAAACCCTACAGGTTAAACCTGTGTTTAGCAGAAAACCTCAGGAGCTGGCAGGACTTTCAGATACTAACAGAGATATTTTCCAACATCAAGCATTCAGGAGTCACTAGACAAATATTTTAAAACATCTTAATTTGGAAAACTATTGGAGTGTCTCTGTTTTGTTTCTTTTTCCTCTTAGATACAAGGAGTCTCTCAGGGAACACTGAATGATAGATATTTATTTTACTTTTTTTTTTTTTTTAATAAAGCAGGAGATTGCAGAGGTTAGCACCTCCAGAACACAGAGTATCACAAGCTGTGATTAAAAATTACAGGTACTGGCAGGCCTGACATACATAGCTATATTTTTTTCTGGTCCTCTCTTTTTTTCAGCAAATCCAAACAGCTAGTATTTTTCCTTTTCCCTGTTTTCAACACTAGAGGGGGCAGGCAGCACATAAAAAAGCCCCAGCTAAACCCAGCAAACGTTTCAGAGGAGGGATGACTAATAAAAGCAGTACTTACATGCCTGTTCAAATTTGTTCAGTAAATTAGGGCATGGGAAAATGACCTGCTGGTGGCAGCCTGTGGCACAGGAGAACAAGGCTGCTTGCAGCGCTCTGACACGATCAGTGGATTGGGCTTACTGTGCCTTACTATAGAGTCCTTTATTAAAACAATAATTCAGAATGGAGTTGACACAAAATAAATAGACTGTATGGGTACAAACCACTTGTTTTATATTTAGAAAAATAGCTTGCTTGTTAAACTTGGGGAAAAAAAAATCCTAGGTGATTGTTGTCATGAGAATGTAGTAAAAGTCTTTGTGAAATAAGTAAGCCATGCATCCAACCTTGTAATTAGGAAAGACACTGAGGTCCTTGTCTCGTTCATCAGTCAGAGCTACTACTTCAGTGGTACCCCAAGCACCTCTAATTAGATTAGGCTGCCAAAATCTTGAAATGCTTCAATTATTACTAGAGAAAGAAATATGAAATAATTGTTATACCCAGTTGTATAATTCCATATATATAAAGCAGCATTTTTCTCACTGAGTGGTAGAGGCACCTGAAACCTTGGAGACAAAAGTTTTCTTCTACCAAAGTTGTAATTTATGGTTTCTGAATTGGCTCTTGTCCCTTTTTCTGCTGTACAGAAAAGAATTGATGCCAATATTGTGAGATAAAAGTAATTTTTAATTTAAAATGCAAAGTCAGAAATTTTAATTTGCTTTGTATAACTTTGTTCTGAAGGAGCTGGGAAAGAAAATCTTGAGTGGAAATGTTTCTGAGACGGAGCAGCAGATGAAGCAGGGATAGGTTTAATTAAAAGGCTGTAATCCGTAGTTCACATAATCCTTTATAAAATACTGAATAAGGTGCCCATGTCTTACTGAGTGTTCTTCTGTTTTTTGCATCTGACTCGGCGAAGATGTTTCTAGCCCAGTGAAGCTTCACCGCACAGACACTTTTCCAACCTACAGGTCAGACCATCGATAAAAGACTGTAAAGAACTTTACAAACTCTTTGTCTTCTGACAAACTGCCCAGTGGATGACAGCGATGACGATAACCAAGGACGGAAACATGGCTGAGTTCAGGTTGAATGTAAAATTCTTGCAATACAAGGGTTTTTTTAAACTTTGCCAGAAGTTAAAACTATTCTGTAGATATCGAGGAGGGCAACAAAACCAACAAACCCTCCAGTGTTTCTTTTATATCTTACAGCTGGACAGGGAAGAAATCACTCCCTAAATATTTCCAAATGTTTTTGTATGATAGGTATGTTGTAAATATATGAGACTTCCCTGTTGTAGTGTGGTTCCATTTTGTCTAGTACAGCTGTGTGTTCACTGATGTCAGCTCTGTCACTCTTGTTTGTTGTAATGCTTATCTTCAGTTATTTACATTAATTGTTCAGCCTAATCCTTGACCTTTGAAATGGTGGCCAGTTTTAAGCAGCTATTGGATACAATTTTTCCTGTTTGAAGTCTGATGAAGACTTGATTGATTTCTTTTGAAAGCACCCTCCCTATCTTCTATTTCCTGTATTTATTTCCATCTCTGTAAATGTTTAAAATAAAAAAAAAAACTCAAAACATTTAATTGGTGGTACAGTGCTTTTTTGTTGTCACGATCAGCGTCATAAACAGAGCTGTTGTAGGGCACTAGAAAAGGAGGATGCAGGGGGACAGTGTCTAGCTGTGTGTCCCCCCCTCCACATCTAAACCAGCACGGCCACTCGTTGGGCGTCCTGGTGAAAGAGAGTAGTAGATTTAGCAGGAATCTCTCAGTGCCACAAACCATTTTGTGGCAGAAAGCAGATTTTTCTGTTTTCTGACAGCATCCTTATTATCCTAGATTGGCACCAGCATGTTAATTTAACAGCAGACTTCTCGAAAATAGCATGGTTGACTACTGCGTGCTATGCCAAATGGTCAGAAGTGTATAAGAGCTGAAGATAGAAGGCTATGATTACCCTGAATGCCAGAGAAGCACTGTGCTTAGCGAGGTGTAGTTAGACCATTCTGTTAACAAGCTCTGAGTAAGAATGCCATGTCAGGTTACAAGTCAGACTGATGGTTTCTAACCGTGTAATTCCTGCTCAGTTTAGAACCTTAGGGATAAGGTCTCATTTTGATTGTTCCAGTGGGGAATACAGTCTCTGCATATTTTTAATTGAAAAATATGGGATACAATTCTAATGATAATAGAATTTATCTAGGCAAGTACAATATGAGCAGCCCCTTTTTCAGCAGATATCCTGGAAGAAAAGTAAGAGAATGCAATGGCCTGAGTAGGTTTGTAAAGAATGAGCTACATTTGTTCATGTTTGTAGAGAATGAGTTAGCACAGGCTAATTTTCTTATATCACATGTCTTATGGTTTGAGTAAAAATAGCAAGTATCTTAAATGTGGCTTTTCATACTACATTGGAAGTTTCAAAGCAGACTGGGAGGACATGATGTTGATCATGACCCACATGATGGCTAGAAGGAGGCTTCAAAACTATACTTGTCGTTACAATGAGCTGTACTTAGAGGTGCTGTCAGTGTTCAGTACTGGAGGAGAAGGGTATCCAGGGTGGCATGTGGCTCTGTGTCTTGTTCCTGGTTAATCACTTGGATGGAGCAGCAGGGAGTGTGCTTATTAAAACTCTGCAGATCTATAAAATGGGAAGGAAGGACACAGGAATACAAGATTAGAATACAAAATGACCTGGAAAAATGGAAGAAATTCAATAGGGACAAGTGCTTCTAAGCAAGGCTAATTGACTACACAAATACGTAATGGGATGAGAAGCAAGACAGCAGCCCTTTAGAAAGGGATGTAAGGGTTATAGCAGATTACAAGTGGAACATGAGGCAACAAGGCCATGTGGCTGCAAAACAAGTAAATGTCATAAGGGAATGTGAAAGCATTTAGCTTTCAAGGCAGCTGAAGTACTTCTGCTCTGCTTAAGGCTGGCAAGGCCTCAGCTGGAGGCCTGCGTGGTGGCTGATCCCAAGCTAAGGTGCTCAGCTTCTACAAATGGTTGTGCCCTGTTGCAGTGCTGACACACTGGGATCCTTCACCTCTTGAAATGCACTGTGCACTGTATAATGTCTTTACTTTCCTTTACCAAGCAAGGAATAAGAAAGGAGAAGATTTTCCCAAGTCAGTTCAGTCTTTCTGTTTGTTAAGAGTGTCCTGAAGTAACCAGTCACTCCACTACGATGTTTTTTAACTGGTTTGAGCACAGAATCTGTATATCAGTTTAAGAAACACATTATCAGTTGTGAAGGAAAACACTGGGAAAATGAGATGTTGGGTTTCTGCATCCAAAAAGGGTTGTACTAACAGAACTGGAGGTGAGAAGGGCTTTCAGGGAGGCAAACCAATGAGTGTGGTGAACGTGAATGTGTTTCTGAAGGAAAAAAATCAATATGCCATTGTTGTTTAAGATACACCATAGTGCAAAGATAGGCTTAATTTATTGTAAATAAGGATTATGTTCACTTTATTTCAAAGCTGAACTGCTAACATAAATAAGTGATTGAAAGGCATGTTATGACTAATAGGTCTTTATCTTTCAGGTTTACTTCTGCTAATGTATTCCCTTTAGAGCTGACAGCATCTGTTGTTTTATCATAGATATGACAGTTCAGTAAATGCTTTTATTCATGTTTCACTCATGCAGTGATTGATATAGTAAGACTATCTGCGGTTGAACTGTACAATTACAAAGAATACAAAAAAAGCCACTCTCACTTTGGCCTTTAAATGAAGGGTCATTAAATCAACTAGGTCTGATATTATTCCTCTAGTGAAAATGTCTGCAAAGGAAGGAAAAAAGGCCTAAAAGTAACTTTGTTTGAATTACTGTGTGTTTATGAGACAATATCAAGGAGTTTCTTTGTTTTAATTTGTGGTACCAACAGATTAAGTGACTTATTCTTTGCATCATTAATGACTTGCATAGTTAGCAAGGTCATTAGCTGAGGGAAGTCAGAGGATTTGCTACTCCTTTAGTTACTGGCTTTATGGTGAGGGAAAGGCCTTCACTATATTTGGAGCTGGAGTGTTTAGACTGTAGAGCAGACTGTGTGCGCAACACTGGAACGATGATGCCATTGTGTGTGCCAGTTGGGTGCTGGTGATATGCTGATGAAAACAGATGCAGAACTGGAGTGGAAATCCTTTGGGTACTGGAGGTGTACTTCAGAAAATGTGCTGCATTTGTAGAGCTGTGGGTCTCAGGGTTACCATGGGCTTCAAGGATCAGCGTGTGACAAATACTCGAGAACTATTTTTTTCCAGTCCTTGCCTACACACAGGCCCTCCTCATTAACAGGGCTTCACAAGGGTTTTTTTTGAGCTTTCCCGGTACACAAAAAGGAGGATAACAATTTTACGGACTTGTTTCAATTGCTCCACCAAATTCCAGCATGGCCTTTTATATGCTTCAACCTTGTTCTTTCTCGAATGTCCACAGATCTTCCTCAGTAACTTTATCAAAGGCACAAAAGTGTTCTGCAAAGTCATCCCATCTGTGTAACCTCTCCCATTCATACAGCTTGAAGTAACGCTGTGCTATTTCTCAGGCAGCTGCTTCTCAAAGACCGGACAGAAACGCTGTACCTTCAGGTCCCTTTCATCCCACAAAAGACCAGTGGCCAACCTGCCAGTTGTCATAGTGGAGACAGAAGAATATGTTTCAGGAGTAAAAGAAGAAGGGATCGGAAGAAAAAAAAGCTCACCCCACTTTTCCAATCTATTGCTAAGAAAAGTTGTTCTATCTTTTGAGCAGGTATGAACAAGCAAACTGGTAATAGCACAGTGGGTAGATGGAGACGGTCCAGACTGCAGCAGAACTCGATGGGTAATGACCTTAAAAGGCTAATCTTGGAATCAAGTACATTGAGGGGAATCATAATATCAAGACTTCAAATTACATTTATTTTTCTTAGATGTTCTTATTACAGGTAACAGAATGCAAATGCCATTATCTAAAATGGCATAGAGTGCAACGTAACTACCGTAAATTGTGCTGCTGAGAGAACTGGGATGGCTGGCATCCCCTCCTTTTCTGCTTTCTAAATGGAGATGGAGTCGCACAAGGACTTGCCAAATGTTGCTCAAGACCTCAAAGTATTTTCATCATACTTCAAACCTTCTTTTTTTTTTTTTAAGTAAAGGAGATCTTGTGCATTTTGCCTGACCAAGATTTAAGAAAAAAATTTTTGGGTCTTGAGGGAGGGAGGGAGGGTAGTGGTTTAAGTGGGTTGTTAAACCACAACAGGGTTGCTTCAGCATTTGTCTAAGTGAAACAGCTTTATTTTTCATGCTCGTATTGTTTGTAATATTTATTGTTTAAACTGTTAATATTTAGTTCTTCTTTCCCTTCTTTCACCTTACAGCAGTAAAAGCATTTAAGCAGATGAACATCTCTTGAAGTTTGTGACTTGCAGCCAGAACATCCTTAATTTAAATAATCACACAGACAAAATTAATGCAATAAGAGTTGTATCTGAGGCCTGTTGCTGAGCAATTCTGGCGAGTGCATAATAATACTGCTGCCTCAGGCACTGAGATCGGGGGTCATGATGTGATATTTCTGTGTATTCATTAACTTTCACAAGGGCAGATTGATCTTCTGTTTCCATGAACACTAATGAACCATTTTCTTATTTTCAGGGAATATTCTATCACTAACACTAGCCACGTAGTGTTTAAAGAAAAGCTGTTTTCAAACGGAAGGCTCTAATTAGAACTTGGGCCTCAGCTGTATTGATTGCACTACACTTTCTCAGTGGATTTACAAATGCCAGCAAATAAACTTGCCAGGGAAAAGTTTACTGTAGTGGTTTTCTCTTTAGTATCTAGCCTATGCCTTGTTCTGTTTCCTTGCAAGCCTGAAGAAGGGAATTAGGTGCTGAGACACTCAGAATGCTTGGGCTTGTGTATGAGGATTTTCCCAGCTATCTGTCTTTTAAATACTCTAGAATCTGAAAGGTGTGA